TCATGCCATTCTGACTGAGAGATGATTGATTTGGTGGTTTGTGTCCCCTTCAGGTTGAAAGATCCGAGTGCCCACAAGTCTGAAACAGTTCACACCCTCTGCAGCTGCCTGTCCACAGTGAGTGGGCTGTTGGCATCACATATCAAGCCAATTCTCGTGGTATTATCCCCCATGGTGATGACGTGGTTGTTATTCAACTGTAAACCTCCAGGCTCTGATACGTAAGCATGATCACTTTGAAAACAAATCTCCTTAAAATTGAAATGGTGAAAATGAAATTGGGGGAGGGCTAATGGTAGCATAGTAAGGCATGTTTGTGACCACAGAGTTGTGTATTTGGAACAGCCAACAGTGAATGAAACACATGTTCATATGCAGTTATTATCCTGGGTCAAGGTGGTAAACTCCCCTAGGTTATTCCTATAATCACGTTGTGTTTCTAGTTGAAATGAAGAATAAAAGATGACAGAAAGCTTGAAGTTGTTACTCTTAACGGGGGCCCTCATTAAATCAGCAGAGAGCACCAAATGACTCAACATGACATGTTGTTGGATGAAGAAACAATTTCTAAATGGGGTCTAATACGATTTTAAAGAAAGTTGCGCTATACAACAGTTATGGTAAATAAAAGGCTAGAGTCAATTACACTGAAGATGAGCAAGGTGGAATCCAGTCTGGTAGCATTTCAGATGTGGTTTAAAAATGTTAGTAATGTCAGACCACAGAGAGTGCTTTCTCATGTTCATGTCCGAAAGCTCTCAGTGAGGAGGGATGTGTTTGCACATTTGCTAAGTATAATAAACAGACAAACTGACCTTAGTTTCAGTGCTTTTTATTTTAGTTCTTGTCACCGCTGCAGCAGAATCTTTCAAAAGTTTCAAAAGTTGTTTTTCTTCTACTGTTTTGGGTTTTTAGATTTGGATGTTACATCACAGTAGTCTGAACGCCAGACCAATATTCTCATATCCAATAGTGCTTACAGTAGATCACTCTTCTCCCACAGCTTGATGCTAACCGAGTGGGGCTGTGACAGCATATGTGTGGGTTGTAAAACTGGAATGATAGTGGAACTGGGCATCTGTGTGTTCAATGGTGCCATTATAGAAGACTATACCTCCCCCAGCTCTTTTCTAAAGATGACACAACATATCATCATAGCCAGACTCACACATGCACCCTGTCTGCAGAGAGAATATGTGCCATGAGGGATGAACTCATTATGGATTTTTTTTAAGAAGGCATGTCACTAAACTAAGCCTTCACATGCCAGTACTGTCTCTGCCCACCATGTACCAAATCATTTTGATTACCGAAATCAAAACCATGGGTGCTTTGTAACAGGACGTTTTATAAAGATATATATTATGCTGCATTGTAATAGATTTCATGCACTTCACAATGTCACTAAAGCCACTTGAATCAGTTTAACTTACTACAGATATTTGAATCAGGTTGGTGTAATATGTCTGTATAACACAAATTCTACGTGTACGCCAGGGGCCCTATAATAATTATGAGTAAATGCCAGTAAAGGTAACTACATCCATGTTCTTTCTCATTGTTATAAACACACACAAAAGAATAGGTTTCCTGAGGTAGGTCAATGCGTGAGAGCCCAGGTGCACCCGTGATATGGGGATGCTCCAATTTGGTTCAAATTTCTGCTGTGACTATTGGACCAAGTGGATCTAACCTGACATCTCTCATTCTCTCTCCCTCTTTCTCTCTCTGTTAGGGAGAGAGAGAGAGAGAGAGAGAGAGAGAGAGAGAGAGAGAGAGAGAG